CTCCAGAACTTGGACCCAAGGTCTCTGCCTGAACCACCCCGCGTGAAATGGAGGCAGGACCTGCCCAGGGAGCTGCCAAGGGGCTGCGTTGTGTCCAGCAGGATCACCCTGGATCCCCGGGGACACCAAGAACCGGACCTCGCTGGGTCACACCAGTTATTACCTATCTACGGATCTATCTTTTAAAACTCACATTTCTAAATAAAACAAACATTAAAAAATAGTTACAAAACAAAATCAAAGTTACCAATGCCAAAGGAACAAATTTGTAAGTTACTTGAAAAGGGAGAATGTGAACGGGAGAGGAAGGAATGTTAAAACGCTGTCTCAAAACCGATTTGAGCCCCGAGCTCACAGGAGTTTGAAATGATTCAAAACGAAAAGTCCACACTTGACCTCGAAACTCTCATACAGGAGAGCGTCGCAGAGACCCACTTTTCCAATGAGAAGATGACTGCGCGGTCCCCGGGACTCGTGACCTACGAGCGTAAGGACGGGGCAGTTTTCTAAACCCGAGAATTCCTGTTTTGAAGGCAAGACAGATATCTTCAGACCCAGATCCGGGCACTCGGAGCAAGAACGGGGTACCCGCCGCGGGGCCAGACGGTGCGCTCCGGAACGCACCAGGCAGCCTCCGCCCCGCGCTACCCACTGAGACCAACCCGCGCGCCATCCCTAGAGCCACTGTCACCACCTCCGGCCTGCCCAGCAGGGGCAATCAGAAGCGCAGGCTGACAGAAAGAAAGGAGAGGAGATCGAGCGTCATTTCAGGTGCCGACGCTGCCGTGGGATGCGGGGGACGCGGGGCGCAGACCTGCAGGGGAGCCAGGCTGGCTGGACCTTTCGGGGATCGGCTTCCAGGTCCATCATCTGGGGGTAGGGTGTTGGGTTCCCGCGGGCAGCTGCTGGGTGGTTGCAATCGGAGGTGAGTCCTTTGATCCAGAAGAAACCGACCCTCCATTCCTGCCCCGTCTGCGTTGTGCCGTGTGAGATAAACTCGCGGCAGCTAGAAGAGACGCAGGAAACGGTTAAAGGTCGGGTGGGGACTGGAGTGAGCCAAGACACTGCAGGCAATGAGGAAGCACCCATACCCGGTCCCCCACTTGGCCCCTGAAGCCCCCTTCCGATCTCAGCTTCCTCATTCTTACAGGGGTTCGGGCCCTTCCCTTCTTTAGCTCCAGAACCCGCCCGGAGGCGCCAGGGCAGAGGAGAGCTGCGCTGGAAGAGGGATGGGTCTGGAACCTACGCGCCGGGGCGGAGGGGTTCGGTTAGGCAGGAAAGTACCCTCTTCGGTGTCACCGCCTCCTCCCGACTCTGGGAGCCAGGAGGTGAGCCGAGGAGACGAAGGGGCCCACCCGGCGTCGGGGCGGCGCCAGACCCCCCGCTGCCCGAAATCCCTGGTCGCCGGCCGCGGGAGAGGTGCGGCTGGCCTCTGGCGCTGAGGTCACCTTTTCCATTGCGCCCGCCGCGAACGGACGGTTTCCGGAATTTTCGCAGCGGCGGCTGTAAGCCAGGCGAGACCCAGGCGTCGCGCTGCGCGGCTGCGCCCCTGGGGTGGGGGCTGCGGGGCTGGGACCGCGCGGGGTCCCGCTCAGCCCCTCAGCCCACGGGCTTCCCTTCTCTGAGCCTCTGTTCCTGGTGGGAAGAAGGGGCCCCACTCTCTGGGAACCCTTCGCCGGCTCTAATGCGGCAATTCTCGGGGAAAACGGAGATGTTTGTGCGCACTATTTCGTCTAAAAGGGGTTTATCTGTGGTTCTGCTTTGGGATGGCGCCGCCGTGGAGAGACCGCGTCGGAGGAGGTGATCAGAGGCCTACCGCCAAGGGGGATGTCTTGGGGGTGACAGAGCGAAGCCGGGCTCTCTCAGCCCTTGAGGCCTGCCAAAGCCCGCGGGCATTCCCCCAAAGAACCCCGGGGCCTCGTTCCCGGCGGCTGCCAGCGCTCAAGATTCGGCCTGACCACCGGAAAAAAACCCTGGCCGCGTTCAAAGAGCTGTGGGGTGGGCACTCTGCAGCCTCAGCACCTGTGAAATGTGGTGGGGGCTGGCTTACACTAGTCTTCTGAGTCTCTCAACTCTAGGGGTGAGGCCTGGATCCTGAAAATGACCTCCTACCCCCAAACCTGACCCAGGAGCTCCTCCAGGGGCAAAGCAGGTTTGGCGAGGGCTAATCAATGTGATCCCCAAGTCCTCTGATGGGGAACGAAGCTCCCTCTGGAGGACCTGAGAACCTCAGGGCTGCAATTGCATTGGGGTAGAGATGGTTCAAAGCCCATAGCTACAATCAGGGACCCAAATACGAGGTAAAGGGTTGGAGTGGGGTGGCTGGGCTTGACCCTCCAATGAAGCTACCCCCAGACTATGCCCTTGGGAAGATATGGAAGCAAGGAGAGGAAGAGGTAGCAGGTGGGCCCTATTGGAGTGGGGGTGTGAGAGAAAATAGGCCCCATACCATACATACAGGGAGCAAGAGTAAACTAACCCTACTCACTGTGGTCCTTGGGTCAGTGCCTTCCCTCTGTTGGGCCTCAATTTCCCCATGTGAGAAAGTAGGTGGTTGGACTGGGTAACACCCCAGCACCCATCTAGGGATGGATTCTCTGCTCCTACACGTGGGCAGGGGTCCCAGCTGGGCTGTACAGGACTCCAGGAGACACTGGCTTTTCTCTGTTTGCCTGGTAGCTGCTGGGCCAACTGAAGCGGCAGGGCTCTATTGTTTTTACACTTTTCACCGGAAGGGAGGCCTGCTCTGTGTATGATACCATCACTCTTAGTGGGTCCCACATTGTCCTCTTACAAAGAGTCTTGTGACTCACAGGACCACCCATGCCTGGACCACCTGGTGGCCACCTTTCTTCTGTCCTAATGATAGCTGTGCAATTCAGGAAAGGAGAGCCCCAGAAGAAGTAGTTCAGTAACTGGGGTAGAGAAGCAGCTGGGCTTTTAGGGTCCTGATCTTGCTAGAGCCTCTGATAAGACATTATCTTTGTCCCTATGGACAAGAAGTATCGGCCATCTCCTAGTTCACACAAAGTATAGGGCAGGTGCCAGGGTAGCCTCAAGGCCCCACTGCCAGCAGCTGGAGCTAGAAAAATTGCATCACCTTGAGGTGGGGCAGGGCCATGGCTATGGTAGGCCCTATTTCTCAGAAGTGACCACTGAGGCCCTGCGCCGAGCTCACGTAGGAAAAAGTGGCCCAAGACCCCAGGTGAGGGGCTCCTGAGGAATGGCAGGCACCCTCCCCCAGCCCCCTAGAAACACTCAACCCCATTCACCTCCACCCCACCCTTCTTTCCCTGACGATTATGTACCCCTCTCCAACAGATACTGTGGGGCCTCCGAGTGCAGAACCTTCATTCAGTCTTCAGAGCTTGACTGGAGCCAAGTGTCAGCATTTCCTTGGGAGAGGTCAGGACATGAGACCCAGAAAAAAAAGGTCAGTAGCCTGACCTGGAGTGGCAAGGCCAGAGAGAGAAGCTCAGCAGAGTGGAGGTTTAGGATTGTTCCCTTCCCCCCACAGCTCAGGCTTATATTCCCACAATGATGAAGATAAGGAGCTAGAGAAGGCTGGGGCCTTCCTCAATCACATTAGGGACTTTAAGGCTCAGAGTTGTCTCCAGACTCCAATGGCATCCTGTGGCCCCTCACCCAGCTCCTGCCAGTACCCTTTCTCCGATGCTCCAAAGCTGAGAAAACGCAGAGTGCAGCCTTTCCTTCTGCTCTCATCTATCCCTTCCTCTATCTAGGGGGACACAACCCACCCCACAATGCCCGGGTTGCCAAGGAGGCTGTGTCCCCAAAGCACTTGGCAATATAGGCAAATCACGGCTGGAGAAAAATTTCCTCTCAGGTCAGTTAGAGAGAAATGAGGCCGTGCTTGGTAAAATGAGGCAGAGTGCACAGGTGCAGCCTCCGCTCTGAAAGTTACATCCTTGACTACTGCTGCCCCCCTACCCAGTGGGCTGCCCTGTGCACTGGCAGGGAGGCTGCACAGGACCATCCCTTTCCCAGACGAGTCGCATGGACTTTGCCTCTCCTCCCGATCTCTCCCGTGCTCCCTAACCCCTGCCCAGGCCCCTCGCCTTCCTAGCTGTCTCTTCTCTTTCTTTACTGTCCCCTCTCTCCACCCTGCCTGCCTCTGTGCCCGCCTGCACGTCACAGCTCCACTGGCTCCCGCGCCTCTGCGCACGGCTCAGCGTCCCTGGCACCCTCACATCTCTGTCTCGAATCTTGTGTGGCCCTCGCTGTCTCGCTCTGGCCCCTCTCTCACCTCTCTCGATCCCTTTGCTCCCATCTCTGGGGGTCTCCTCTCCCGAGCTCTCCTGCTCTCTCCTTCCTGGGCGTGCGCTCCGCTGGGTCTCCCTCAGTTTGGGTCCACTAGCCCCTCTCGCGGCCCCCTCCCTCCCTCCTGCCTCCCTTCACTGGCCCTCCCTTGGGCTCAGCCTTGGGGGTGGGGGGCGGCGGGCAGCGCAGGGCGGGGCGTTTGGGCGGGGCGGGGCAGTGACGCGGACC